ACTCATATTAAGCCGCAATTTCACTTCTTTCCACTGGAATAAACAAACGATGGATGTATTGCCGCCATTTTGAATTTGGCAATGTCACGTGGTCGCGCGTCGACCAATCAGACAATTTTCGCCGGTGAAAGGTCTGGGATTAGGTCTGGGATATAATTGAAAACAGAGCATGCGCAGCAGTCGTTCACGGCTTCAGCAAGCCGCGGACAACGTTTGAGTGCATTTATACGAACGTTTTCACGTCCAAGGTAAGCCGCGGCTTGGATAAGCCCATCCCAAAACCCCTCGGCTAGGATAAGCCGCGACTTGAGCTGGCCTTGGGTTGAATAAGCCGTGAACATAGATTTTGTACCATTTATACGGGGTGTTCGCGTCTTATGTCAGCCGCGGCCATAGTAAGCTGCGGCTTATTTTCTCTCGTATAAACGGCCCTATTGTCGTCGGTAGCAAGCTGAAAGGGAGATGGTATACTATTCACTGTATAAGTTAAAAATCCAAAATGTTGTTAACAATTTTGAAGGATGTCAGATTGCAGGCATGCGCGCTTTGAACCATTCTACACGGGTCCGGATAAATTTTGGGACAAAAACTTGCTTGGAACCGCCATTCGTTTATGAGGAACCCGCGGAACCACGCACGTTTTTGAACGGCAAAGTGTTCAGTCTACCCGGATGAAAGATAGGTTACAGTTTTTGACTGGTACGGTTCCACTTTTACGCGGCGTCGTGTAAACACCTGAAACGTGCACGTATTTGTACAGTTTGGGTTGTTCAAAGCTGGGTTAAGATAACCCACGGTTAGTGCGAAATTTGAATTTGATATGAAAGCTTAAAAGGCAAATTCAGGTTAATTCTTTTTGTTTATAACTTGATAAATGGATACCCTGAAAGAAATAGGGAAAATTATCTGAGAAACAAAAGAAACTTAACCCTGGGTTAGCGCTAATCGGCCTTCAAACAACTGGGCCGTGGAGCGTATTTACGCGCCTGTAACTCAGCTGGAGTGCTGGACTCGTGTGAACATGTACAGTACTGCAATCTGGACATTGTCCGTTCAACAGTTTCCCGGACCCTTGTAAAAAAGGTTTTCATCTCAGGTATGCGTACAAGGTGGTCCTAGTACCCTCGCATGGTCGTGATCAAATCTTTCAGGGTTCCTGACAAGCGACATGTCCTTCCCAATTTTAACTCACTGGTCGAACACTTCAAATTCTTTTTCCTTATTTTTCTTTATTTTTTTCTCTTTATTATTATGTCCATTATATCAATAGAGGATAACCCTCTCTTCGCTTGGTTAAATTTTATTATTGTTCATCTCAGACTTTAAACCTTTAAATTTTCTCACGTTTGAATTGTTTGGTAATCATTACTTATCATTTATATTTGTTCCATTACCTCATCCGTTTGTCACTATGTTTTAAATAATATAATTTTTTTTCAATTTTACACTTATGTCAAATTGCCAACTGTAGTGCCTTCTTACTATTGTAACGATTTTCCGTTTCTTATATCCAGTTAAGAAGGGCCGAAACGTGGGTTTTAATCAATTTGTTGCTGTTTTGGTATTCAAAACCATTTTTCTGAGTTAAAAAGACAGGGTTTGGATGCCGTCAAAATTATGATAGGTCCAATATTCGGACTTACGAAGGAGAAGCCAGGCTTGCTTACATAATCCCGAGAGTTGTTTTCAACATACGTTTTAAAAAAGTTCATTTATCATGACGAAACAAACTTAGATTGCGAAATGATGATTAGACGGGTTCACAAGCGTCGAGAATGAGGGATAAAACAAGATCAGATCCTAAGGGCGCAAGTCAACTGAAAGCATAAGGAATTAAAAGCATGGAAAATAGAACCAAACCCGTCTCCAACGAAAAGAACCTGGGGAAGAGGTTAAGAAAGAAAGTCCTTGGTGGCTATTATCTGCACCCGACCCTCTACCCCTTAACCTCCACCCCCTCCCTCTCTCCTCCACCAAATATGCTCCTTCTCGAACTCCTGCAGAACACTGAGTGCAAGGCTGACGTGGAGCGCGAGGCACGCCTCAGTCTTACCTCCCTGTTAGTTCTCGAAAGAACAAGGGATTTTTATTTATCTTCTAGCGAATTATCTACAGACAGAAAACTAAGTGAAAGCCAGAGATATATATAAATATTTTCGATAAAATTTTGGTAGCATGTGTTTTCGTTATTTATGCCTAAGGGGGGGTCGGTGATTTTCAAGCAATTCAGGCATATGAAAAATTACCCCTCCCCGGAAGTGGGTATTTTAAAAAATTACCCCCCCCCCCCGTTTATGTGACAGGCCCAAAATGTAACCCCCCTACCCCCACCCCCCTCCCCTCAGGACGCGACGTGCCTCCGATTGCGAAATTGCGTACAACACGTGTTCTGGCCGGTTGCCGATAAACCAAAATCCATTGCAAGGTCATTTGTGATCGTACAGTATGGAAGCTCTAAATAAGGAAAGCAAATTTGCAGCGCCGGTGTTAAC